ATATATATATATACATATACATACATATATATACATATACATGTATATATATATACATATACATGTATATATATATACATATATATACATATATATACATATAAGGACTGGTGTGTTTCTGTTCCCCATCAATAACTCTGGTTGATGAGCAGCTTCACGTCCTTCATGTCTGAGCGTTTCTTACTGAGAGTCTCTTTAAATCCTGAAGCTGGTCTGGTTAAGCTGGTCTGGGACCAGTCGCTACGGGAGCGTTGCAGTGACGACGTCCCTCAACAGCTTGTTCAGAGCTGTGACTTTGTCCTCCAGCAGGAGGTTCTTCTTCTCTGCGTGTTTCTGCCGCTGCTCGGTGACCTGCAGAGCCTTCATGAGCTCAGAGTTCTCCACGTACACGTCCTTCAGCAGAGAGCTGGTCTTTGAGTTCTTCACCAGCTGAGGACGAGACGACGACAACGAGTCATGTGACCTGAGAGGCTGAAGTCAGCTGAGGGGAGAACAGAGACTCACCTGCTCTTTGAGCTGCTGGACCTTATCCTGCAGGACCAGACGGACCCCCTTCAGGGTGCTCTCCAGATCCTCCATCCTCCTCTGCAGGGAGGACAGCGCCTTCTCGTACTGGTCCTGAACGCAGCACACACACACACACACACACACACACACACACTGAGATCAAAGTGTGTAAAACACGAGTGAGTCACATCTCCTCATGGTCTAACGGACTGTTGTGAATCTGTACTGATCCTCCTCACAGTTTATCGTTAACTATCACGGTGTAAATAAAGCTTTACCGTTAACCATCACGGTGTAAATAAAGCTTTACTGTTAACCATCACTGTGTAAATAAAGCTTTACCGTTAACCATCACGGTGTGAATAAAGCTTTACTGTTAACTATCACGGTGTAAATAAAGCTTTACTGTTAACCATCACGGTGTAAATAAAGCTTTACCGTTAACCATCACGGTGTAAATAAAGTTTTACTGATGATCAACATTCAGTAGAACATGTGTTTCTAGTCTCTGATCTCTGGCAATGTTACTTTGTAAACAACCAATCAGAGGAGAGCTAGTAGCGTTAGCAGCACCGCTAACAGCTAATGGCTAACCACCCTGTGGTCTACCTGCTTCATGCTGATGTGGGAGCTGCTCTGCTGGGCCTGAAGCCTCAGGGTCTCCTCCAGCTGGTGACTCCTCCTCTGCTCCTCCTCTAGCCGGGCCCTCAGCAGCTCCTCCTGCTCCCTGTGGTCGTCTCCGGCCCGCCCCTGCACCTCCTGCAGCCTCCTGAGGTGCTGCACCTGAACCAGCTCCGCCTGTACACAGGAAGTTCACACATAAGACCCTGATGTCAGCGTTGGATCGGGTCCTTCTGATGAGGTCCAGACCTGGTTCTGAGCCTGCGTCTGCTCTGTCTGCAGCTCGCTCAGTCTGGTCTTCAGGTTCTGCTGCTCCTGGTTCAGCTTCTGGACCTCCAGACTCTGGACCTGCAGCTCTGACAGCTGACAGACATCAGAGAGTCAGCGTGGCTCATGTGGGCTCAGTTAGACTAGAACAGATCATAGGTTGTAGTCTGGTACCTGGTGTTGGAGCTCCTGGTTCTGGACTCTCAGTTTGTGAGTCTCCTCCTGCTCCTCCAGAGCCTGATGGAGCTCCTCCTTCTCCTTCACCAGCTTCCTGACGCTGCTCTGCAGCTCCTCCACCTGACAACAGACAGGAAGCTGTGAGGTCTAAATGTGTCACATGACACCAATATTATTATTATTAATATTATCTTCCCGTCTGCAGTCGGGCTCATTAACAGAGCCCGGGACCCCCTGACATTTCCTCCTGGTCTCTCTCCTGCACGTCCCAGTTTCTTTATTTAATCACTTGTTTCACAGTCCTGTTATCTGCACTTTATTTTATATTTTAATATGTTTCTATTTCTTGCACTGTGTTGATTGTTTATTATTAAATGTTACGCACCACCCGCCATGACAAATTCCTTGTTGTTCCTTGTCAATAAACGGTTCTGATTCTGATTATTATTAATATTATTATTATTACGTCATAAGGAGCCCAAACATCTTGTGAGCTAAGAGTCCATGTTTACAACCTTCTTACCATCGAACCATATGAGGAAATATCTGCAAATTAAAAGTATTATATGAAAAAAATAATTTTGGAAAAAGTGAAAAATTTGTCAAAAAATATTATTTAAATGAGAAAAAAATTGAAAAATATCTGAAGAAAAAGTTAATTTTGAAAAAATATATATTTTTATAATATTGTTAAAAAATATCTTAAAATTATTATTAAAATATGTGACAGATATTGTGGAAAAATATCTGAAAAACATGAAGACAATATCTGAAGAACATTTTTAAAGGTTGGAAAATATCCCTAAAAAATCTGAAATATATATTTATTTAAAAATCTGGAAAAAGGAAAAAAATATTAGAAAAAATATCCAAAATGTGGACAAATATAAAAATACTTGAAACGACAGCATGCAGACGTCCAATCATATTAATTAAAGAAGATAAAAAGAGAAACATTAGTTCATTCACTTTGATATATTCTATCTTTCAGAAGCATGAAGAGTTAAAGATATCTGGTGACCTTCCTCTGCTGCCCGCTCACTTCCTGGGCGTGGCCTAGTGTCTCCTGGGTGTGGCCAAGTGTCTGAGAGCAAAGTAGCTCCGCCTCCTCCTCCATAGAGAGCAGCGACCGCTGCAGCGCCTCCACCTGAAGGAGGTGAAAGGTTGACGGTGAGAGGAAGAACAGCTGGTTGTTTGGAGGTTGTTAAGTCTGCGAGGTGAAGGAGGAACCTTGTTGTTCTGCTCCTCAGCTTCTCTCAGCAGTTTGTCTTTCTCCTCCTCCAGACTCTGCAGCTTCACAGTCACAGTGCTAAGCTCCGCCTCCAGACACGACAGAGCAGTCACCTGACACGTTCAGATAAACGTAAACAATCGCACCGAGGTCAGAGCTTCAGACTGTAAACCGGGAGCTAAAGGAGCAAACGGGGAGCTACAGGAGCAAACGGGGAGCTACAGGAGCAAACCGGGAACTAAAGGAGCAAACCGGGAACTAAAGGAGCAAACGGGGAGCTAAAGGAGCAAACGGGGAGCTAAAGGAGCAAACGGGGAACTAAAGGAGTAAACGGGGAACTAAAGGAGCAAACAGGGAACTAAAGGAGCAAAAGGAGCTGCAGGAGCAAACAGGAAACTAAAGGAGCAAACGGGGAGCTAAAGGACCAAACCGGGAGCTAAAGGAGCAAACCGGGAGCTAAAGGAGCAAACGGGGAGCTAAAGGAGCAAACAGGGAGCTAAAGGAGCAAACAGGAAACTAAAGGAGCAAACGGGGAGCTAAATGAGCAAACAGGGAACTAAAGGAGCAAACAGGGAACTAAAGGAGCAATCAGGGAACTAAAGGAGCAATCAGGGAGCTAAAGGAGTCATGAAGAGTAAACTGAAGGACATGAATGAGACAGATGATGACCTCCTACAAACCTTCTCCTGGTAGCAGCTGATCTGTCTGTCCAGCAGCTCTCTGTCCTGCGTCCAGACGGCCTCCTGCTGCAGCTTCTCTTTCTCCTGCTGCAACGCTGCTTCCTGCAGCCGCCGCACCTGAAGTATTGATGAGTACCGTCAGTACTTTATGGATACTAGTACTCTGATCGGTACTCTGATCGGTTCTTTGTGAGTGTTTTGAGAGAAGAAGACACATTTCTTTGTTATTCTTGTATGTAAACAGTGTTTCTGGAGACGAGGTTTCAGTCGAGGACGTCTCGCTACAGAACTTCTGAAGTACCGACAGCAGAACCACTGACTAAGGTTTTTACTCTTTTAGAACCGGGTTTAGAGGGCATCTCTAGACCTGAAACCACAACTCTTTAGTCTGATTGTGCTGAAAGCCAGAGATCCTTAAGAGATCCTTAAGCTGCTCACCGTGGTCTCCTCCTCCTCCTTCTCCTTGGAGACCGTCTCCAGGCGCTCCCTCAGCATCCGGACCGACTCCTGGTGTCCACGGAGTTGGGCGCTCAGCTCGGCGTTGTCGTTGCTGAGCTTCAGGTTCCTGCTGCTCAGATCCAGAACCTCCTCTCGATGTCTGGAGTTCTGCAGAAGCAACAGAGGACGAGAGCAGGTTGGAAAGTCGTCCTCTCGGAGCTCAGAGGGGTCGGACCGATTCTCTCCTCACCTCTTTGTGCAGCCTCTCCTCTTCCTCTCGACTCCTCTCGTGGTCTCTCTCCATCTCGTCCACTCTCCTCCTGACAGAAGAAGAAGAAGGTTCATGTTTGATGATATGTGATAAACATTATGATCATCATCCAGGTCGGACCTCATATCACTAAATTGGAAGCGTAACTATAATTTAAGATTGAAAGTGAAAGAGGCTCGATTGTCTCCTGTCGACCAATCAGAAGTCACCTGTTCTTGGCGACGTCGTCCTCCAGCTCGGTGACCTCCTGCTGCAGGACGCTGAGTCGCTGCTGAAGAGCTCCGTTCTCCAGTCGGACCTCCTCCAGCTGAGTCCTGCAGACAAACAACGAGGAGGAGAGTTCATCCTGCTGCTCTGTGACGGAGCTGAGCCTCATTTCATTGGTTGAAATCGATCTGAAGAGTTGTGTTGAGATTTGGGTTTGACTTGATTTCTAAAGCTTCAGTCGGCTTCAAACACTGAAGATGATGCCGACTGAAGCTTTAGATCAAAGAGGTCTTCATCTGGAGCTCTACCATGAAGAGGAAACAGTTATTCATTCGGTTAGCCGTGAGGTGAAGATCACTGTCGTTGATGGATGCAGTTAGTCATTCCAATAGTTAGTCGTCATTGGGACCAGGTTCTGGATCTCTGAGACGGTCTCATGCTCCACAAACCTGTGTGGACTGGCCGGGTCCATCACCTCCTCCAGGTCCAGGAACAGCTTCTCCAGCTCCATCAGCTGCTGCATCATCTTCCTCTTCTCCCGTTCAAAGCCCTGCTCCGCTGTCCTCAGCTGGTCCTGGGAGTCCTGCAGGTCCCGCTGCAGCTGGAGGACCTGCTGTCCGGTCAGATCCAGGTCTTTGTGATGCTTCCTGGAGGAGGCCTCGGCTCGCCGTAAGAGATCAGCGCCATCCGCGACCTCGGCCCGGAGCCGGTCCACCTTGCAGGTTTTGGAGTTGAGCTGCCTCCGGAAGTCCAGGACCAGGTCTGCGGTCCCGTTGAGCTGAGTGCTGAGTTCTCCGAGGTGGTCTCTGAGCGTGGAGATCTCCTCCTCCATCTCTACGATCTGGTTGGAGAGCTGGTCCACCAGCCGGGCGTAGCTCCTGTTCTCCTGGCTCAGACGACAGACCTCCTCCTTGTCTTCGTCCACAGCGGACCGGAGCAGCGAGGTCCTGGTCCGCTCCTGCTCCAGAGCGTCCCGGAGAACCTCCTCGGCACTCCTCCTCCCGTCCAACTCCTCAGAGACACCGTCCAGCTCGAGCTGCAGGTTGTCCACAGCCATGGCCTGGTCCTTCAGGTCCTGGATCAGCCTGGCGCGGTCCGTCTTCAGCGAGTCCAGCTCGGCAGTCAGTTTGGACAGACCCTGGACCCGGTTCCTGGTGGAGTCCTGCAGACTCTTCACGGTCTGGTCTCTGGCTCGGAGCCGTTCCTGCTGCTGGACGAACGCGTCGGAGAGGCGGTCCCGGTCCCGCAGGACCCGGTCGGACTCCGTCTGGAGGTTCCACAGCTCCTCCTTCAGCTGAGTCACCTGAAGCAGGAGCTGCTCCTCCACGGAGCTCTTCTCCTGCTCTGATTGGGCGAGCCGCTCCTCCAAGAATCCTCTCTGCTCCTCCCAGAATCCTCTCTGCTCCTGCAGCCGGTGGAGGAGGCGGCGCTGCTGCTCTGCTTCAGCCCTGCTGAGCATCGGTCACATGTCGCTCAGCGTTAATCCATCGATCCACCTGAGAGACTTCCTGTTTCTAACCAGCTGTGAGATCCTCAGTGACGATCAGTGATCATCACTTTAACACGTTCACCACATTCATGTTCACTTCACAGCCTGAGAGCAACGATACCTCACTATAGTAGATGTATGAACGATAACCACGCTGCTGTATCTACGTCTACATGACGCTACTTTAAAGTGTTGATGGAGATGCTACAACGTTAGCTTAGCATAGCACCAATAGATCCAAACTCCATTCAGAAAACAAGCGTTTTAAAAGTTATTTACTTGTCGTCTTGAGGAGAGAACTAACAAAACATGAGTTCAGACTTTTTACTGATCATCGTTATGAAGTTATGTATCAGTTTGTTGTGATTAAATCATAGCAGAGTGTGTTTAGTGAACAGCTGTGTGCGGTGATAGACACAGTGAATGATGATGTTTACACCTCTGGGATCAATAATGAAACAGTTATCAATGTAGAGAACACTTTTGGTGTCTGAACGGCATCTGTTAGAATACCGAAGAAGAAGAAGAACTGTGACGAGGTTAAAGAATGATGTGTTTGTAGATGTTGCAGAGCATGCTGGGTAACGTGACCACCCACCTGACCAGCATCACTTCCTGGTCCGCCTTCAGCTTCAGCTCCGCCTCCAGCTGGTCCTTCTCAGAGCTCAGTCTCTGGACCAGGTTGCCGATCTCTCTGGCAAAGTTCTGCTCCAGCTCCGCCCCCTCCCGCTGCATTCTGGGAAAAAAACACCAACAACACGTTGACGTTTTAAAGACTGCTCACGACGACGTGGACCAGCTTCTGTCTGCACGATTCTGCAGGCGTCTTCCTCACCTGCGCTCCTGCTCGTGGCTCCACCCTCCTCCTCCTCCTCCTCGTATCTGAGAGCTCAGTTTCTCCAGAGTCTCCTTCAGCTGCTTCACCTGCTGCTCCGCCTGAGATTTCTGCTCCTCCAGCTCACTGATCTCCATCTGAAGGACGAAGACATTAACGTGAGGAAGAAGTATTACTTCAAAGTATTTAAAAAACACCTCAGGACAAGTAAAGTCCTGCATACTTCATCAGCTAAATGTCCTTAAAGTACTCATTATGGGACATGTTTCCTTTTGAATCTTTATGATCGAGTCCTGCAAACAGAATAAATACCTGAAGGTGATTCTGTGTTAAAGATTCATTGGTACCTTGAAGGCCTGAGAGATGTCTTTACGTTCCACCTCCATGCTCTGTCTCATCACCTCCAGGCTGCGCTCATAGTAGTTCACCTGAAGGAGGAGGAGGAGGAAGTACATCAAACATAATGTAGATCATATATACTAGTGCTGGGCAACGATTAAAATATTTAATTGCGATTAATCACATGGATTTTTTGCGATTAATCGCGATTAATCTCATTGTTGTGGCAAAGTTCAATAATGAATTCAAAAGTAGTGTATTGCACACTTTTATTTTAAAAGTACTGCTATATGAACAAAAGGGCAATAACATTTGGTTCAGGAGATGCAGGCAGCATGTTTTATACTTAATGTGAATATAATTCATACCTTGTTGGCATCTTATTCTGAAAACCGGATGTTCGTCTGAAGAAACCGGATGTTGTCTCACGTTAATCTTTCCGCTAACTTTCAAAGTCCTTCGCTCGCTCCCGATCTGTGCCGTTTAAATGCGTTTACCGTGAATGTCAGCATATAGGTGCACTAACATGTAAGTGTCTGCTGAGTTGACCACAGAGATCTGAGTGTCTGCTGACTTTACCGCAGCGATGTCCAGTAGTCTCCAGGGAGAGCAACAGCTGGTGCAGCTTCTCTCTTTATTTCCCCCCCCCCCCCCCCCCTCGACCAGCAGCGGAAGTCGCCTTTTCTCTACGGCAACCCTGAAGGGACATCATATCTCCAATACAAAATGATGAACATGAGACAGTCTGTTACAATAATAATAAATTAAAAATCCTGTTTTTTTTAATGATTATGATTATTTTTTTTTTCCCCATCTCAAAAGGCTCAAGGACAAACACACGTACACGCACACACACACACACACACACACACACACACACACACACACACACACAGGATGTTTGCTGGCTTTTATCCCACTGTTCTTGTCATCCTCTTTTTGTTATGTATATGTATTGTCTCTTGTCTTTCAATTAAAAAAAAATAAAAATAAAAAATT